TCGACGAGATGATCCAGGACCGCAGCTGTCATGCTTTTTGGGGTTGACTTCCTTTATGTCGAGCGCCTCCCAAAAAAAAATCGAGTTCTCGTGTGTGCGGCTCTTGGGGTGAAATTTTGGGGTGGTTGACGGGGAGGGGGGGGGGTGTGGTAAGGTGAAGGCATCTGGAAGAACCCCCACGCGAGAAGCGAAGAATGATCCAAACGAAGCCCTAGCCCTAAAATGAGGTTGGAAGTCAGAATGGCACTTCTGAAGCAGTGGTGATTCACTGAAACCCTTTACAGTGGGGGTGGAGGAAAGGGACGGAGTTGCGAAACCCGAAGCCTTGGTGGCAAACCTGAACTCCAAACAGCGAGCGGCAAACTCAAAGAGCCCGGAAAGGAGCCGAAAGGAGTGGAAATGAGTGGAAATTGGCGAAAGCCGCAACAAATACTTCGAGAGGGAGTGGCCAGATGTGGCCAGCAAGCGCGCGGAAAGAACATGTAACCAAGCAAGTCATGTGCACATCCCCCTATCGCGGAACAGCGTAAATGCGACGGCTTCAACAAAAAGTCACAGCCCGGTGAGAAAACAGCACGGGCATGAACTACACTAAGCGCGCTTACGTAGCAAGGGGCCGGTTTTACCTAAACCCTAAACCCTAAACCCTAAACCCTAAACCCTAAACCCTAAACCCTAAACCCTAAACCCTAAACCCTAAACCCTAAACCCTAAACCCTAAACCCTAAACCCTAAACCCTAAACCCTAAACCCTAAACCCTAGCACGGGGCCGATTTGATTCAATGCCTGCTTCAGGAGGCGGTCAAGACCTCTCCGGCAAGCAAGTCCGCAGCGCCCCTCGACTTAAGCCTAGCGACTGTACCAGTTTAGGGTTTAGGGTTTATAGGGTTTATAGGGTTTATAAGGGTTTATAGGGGTTTATAAGGGTTTATAGGGTTTATCGGGTTTAGGGTCTAGGGAGTTCGGGAGGTTCTGAAACCATAGGGGTACTTTTTTCGGGCCCCTTTAATCGGGGGCTGGAGCATCTCACCCTGTTTTTGGGGCTTCCTCTGTGAAGGGTCTCGGGTTTCGTCAGGGACTCCTGGTAGAAGTGGGCGGTTCGAAGCCAGAAGCGGTGATCTGCAGGAAGCAGAGGCATGTCATACCCAGCTCTTCGGCCCAAAGAGGTGTAACTCCTTGCTGCCAACTTACGCTCACGGACTGTGTGTTTAACTTTGGGGATTGTTATGGGCGGTGTTGCGAAATCGCTGGTTTCCATTCCTTGACCCTCGTCGTTGTTGACATTGTAAGCCCAAGGCTTCAACCGTAACAGCCCCCAGAACCGCAAAACTCCAGTTCAGATTCAGATTCAGAACAGGGGTGTGGGGGGTCAGTGAACCTACCCGACGCAATTGCGGGGTAATCTGAGCTTCTTAGCCCTTTCTCTGCTCCATGTGCCCCTGAGGTACAGCTACTCGGTGGCGGGCCGGGAGCATGCCAAAGAGGACGCTTTGGGGAGGCTGAGGGGCCATTTTGTGCGTTTAGGGTTTAGGGTTTAGGGCCTGGGGTTGTCCGCAGTCCAGTTGCACAAGGGCTTGGGGTTTACAAGCCCCCCCCCCCCCCCGGAACAAAAAAAAGAACAGGCGCTCCCCTAATAAAGCCGTGCTAGCCTGTGGCAGAGGAGTTGGGAGGGCAGGGGCCTCAGACGCCCATCCTGCGATTCGGGTGCAGGAAAACAGTCGTGGTTCCTTTGGCGGCCCGAAGCCCGAAACCCTCATGCCTAAACCCTAACCCCTAAACCCCTAACCCCCTAAACCCCCTAAACCCCCTAAACCCCCTAAACCCCCCAAACCCCCTAAACCCCCCTAAACCCCCTAAACCCCTAAACCCCTGAACCCCTGAACCCTAAACCCCTAAACCCCCTAAACCCCCTAAACCCCCTAAACCCCCTAAACCCCCTAAACCCCCTAAACCCCCTAAACCCCCTAAAACCCCTAAACCCCCTGAACCCCCTGAACCCCTGAACCCCTGAACCCCCTAAACCCCTAAACCCCTAAACCCTAAACCCTAAACCCTAAACCCTAAACCCTAAACCCTAAACCCTAAACCCTAAACCCTAAACCCTAAACCCTAAACTAGTCCTTAGGTGCATGCTGTGCTTGGAGCCGCTGCCCAACGACCCGCGCGAGGCGGGGCCCCCCTCTTGTTTTCAGGCGTCTGCCTCCGATGCCTACGAGGTTTAGGGTTTAGGGTTTAGGGTTTAGGGTTTAGGGTTTCGGGTTTCGGGTTTAGGGATGCCTACAGGGTTTAGGGTGTAGGGTTTAGGGTTTCAGGTTACCCCAAAAGAAACAACCCAAGCGCCCGTGCAACTTCCCGAGCTCTGCAAGGCGCTGCGAGTAGTTCTCCCCCGCCCCCCGCCTGGCCGAAATCTCTCGAATGCAGCTGTGCTTGACAGGTCATCAACCTGTGCGCCAGCGAGCCTTAAGCTTAAAACGGGAAAAGACGGCAGCAGCTGCAGATGGGGCTCAGTGCGCCCTTTATCTACTTATACTCAGGAAGGGGGGCCTTTCTTTATGCCCAAGAAGTCAGACCGGAACAGCTGAGGCCCAGATGCCTTTGCCTGCTGCACCGCTCCTGCTTCTTGCACTTTGGCCCAGATTTATTTGGGCTTTTCCCTGGGACTTTTGAAGTTCGGTTGTGATTTCAAGCACCCGGCCTTTCCATGATTCTCTTGGGGGGGAGAAGGCTGGAAGAGGCGAGCTGGCAAATTGACCCCCTTTTTTTTTTTGAAATGTGCCATCGCAAAGCACACTAATACTTCTAAGGTTGTACCCCTACAGGTGCCCCCTTCATGTACTCCTAGTACGGCCCTTATACTACGTACCTTAAGGATCTTAATAGCAAGGGTACCCAGAAGCCAAGAGTACAGCCTGAAAGGGTCCAAGGCAAAACCCCCCTAGACTCTTCCACCCTGTTACCGTCACAGCACTGAGGAACCCGCAGTACGAGATGTCAGACAACTTCAGGCCGGAGGGTCGACTTGCTTTGAGGTTGGGAGCGGGGGGGGGTTTGGTTTAGGGTTTAGGGTTTAGGGTTTAGGGTTTGAGGTTTAGGGTTTAGGGTTTAGGGTTTAGGGTTTAGGTCCGATGCTCAAAAGGGTTTAGGGTTTAAGGGTTTAGGAATCTGTGGTGATGGGATGCTCATGGGCGATGCAGTCTCTGCACATCTTGCGGTCGCTTGCCTAGACCTGGGGGGCCCGAAGCCAACGAGCCAATGCTTGTCAACGTGCTCATGTACCTGAAGTTGCCTATCTGCTGCCTGTTTACGGATCCCATCGCTGCACTCCTCACGCTGTGTCAGCGCCTGTTGTATGTGCCAGGCGTTGCATGATCTGCAAGAAGCCTGCAGGCTAGGCCGGGGATTGAGCGAGGACCGGACGTGTGGGCTTGCGATTCAGAGGTTGTTTTCGGTTCGCGGCTTGCTCGTTCGATTATTCGTGTCCCTGTAGTGACGGAGTATTTCCGCAATGTAACTACTACGGTTTGCAACCACTTGACGAGTATGACGACGAGTGGGAACGAGGAAGACCACAACCCCAACAGGGCGGGTTGCGGGCGCTGCACCACCCGGCAAACGACCCAAGCAAACCGAGGGTCCGGAAGCCCCTGAACCCCCAAACCACAAAAACGCCCCAAGCCCCTTGCCAGATGTGAGAGTCGAAACCCTGTTTAAAAGGATATACAAATACATAATATGTACACAAAATTGATTGATTGCTTTTGTTTATTGTATGCTATATAGAACATACCATACCTTAATACAGTATAAATGCTGATCGACAGAAGGCAAGCAGCCTTTGAAGCGCAGAACGCCAAACGTTGAAGCATCCGTGACCAGACCCGGCCATGGTGCGCTTGGCCGTCCAGGCGAGGAGGTGCCCCCCTCAGGCGGATCTCCATCCTGAAGCCTCTTCCCGCACCCCGCATTCCTGGGTTTAGGGTTGAGGATTTTAGGGTTTAGGGTTTAGGGTTTAGGGTTCAGGGTTTAGTTGCAAAAAAGGGTTCAGGGGTTAGGGCTTACAGTTGCGAAACGGTTTTTGGATGTTTTTGAAACTCTCTTTGGGAAAGCTGTTGCAAGCCCGACACGCACCTTGCAGTTCCCCAAGCCTTGAAGCGATATGTTCTCGCATTCCATGCTTAGGAAGCCGATTGGATCACGATAGCGTGATGCGATCAGATCGTGCCGGAGAACTGACTCTCTAAACGGCTGCCGCTTGGGGTGGGTTCCTCACTAACTGAGATTCCACGAGATCGGACTCCGCTTTCAGGATAGCTGCCAGGAACCCTTGAGATTCCCGAACCAGGAGCAGAAGAGGCTCGGAACACCAGGAAGCGCGCACAGCCACTTGTCTCACCCAGCATAGGACGTCTCGATATCTGGTGGCCCGCTGTCCGTGAGGTACCCAAGATTGCTCTCAGGTTGTTTAATGGTCCTGGTGCGATTCTTCATAAGTCTCCGTGACCCTGTTCCTGCGTGTAGATTGTGCTTTGCCACTGTGTCTGTGGAGTTGTGAGTTCCCCCTCGCCGGCTTGGGTTCACGGTGTCTACTGGCGCAGTTTCTTCTCACATGGGTTCATGGTGCAAGACAGAATTGGTGGGCCTGGATGTTGGGGCGGAGCAGAAACTCAAGGAACGCGGGAAGCTTCGCAAAAAACAAGGGGTTGCGTCTGCCTGCTTTGCACGATGTGCGTGGGAAAGTGAGTAGCGTCAGAAGATTTGAACCTGCTTAGCCGCTAATTTACTTTAGTTAGCCGCAGTCGACACACGGAGAAGCTTTGTGGCACTAGCTCTGAACCTTCTTCAACATCACTTGCGGTAGACAAACTTGAGCTTAAAGGGTCCTTACTATAGATGCAGGACTTATAGGCTAATGATGTAGGTCCTTTCTGGTCCTTGCATGCCTTTTGTGGAGCATTTTTCGCAAGCCTTGGGCTCAGTTTTCAAGTCACTTTCTTGGCCCATGGCGGCGGCAGTGCCCTCAGCTACCGTAAAGAGGTTAGATGCCCTTATAAGGGCAGCCTACAGCTCAATAATGCAATAATATATATGAATATATGGTTTGGGGGTAAAATGAGCCCGCTGCGTTTTTGTTGCTTTCTCGCAGCGAACTCATTATACCCACACAACAAAAAAACCAAAAACTGGAAAACCAAAAAAACCAAAACCAAAAAAACCAAAACCAAAAAAACCAAAAAAACCAAAAAAACCAATTTTGGGGAACTCCTGGAAGTGGCTTATTATCAGCCCTTACGTCGAAAAGTTCCTCAAAATTGTTTTTTTTGGTTTTTTTGGTTTTTTTGGTTTTGGTTTTTTTGGTTTTGGTTTTTTTGGTTTTTCAGTTTTTGGTTTTTTGTTGGTTTTGGCTGTGTTTGGTTTTCCAGTTTTCGGCATCTCTATAGCCCTGCTGCAACCCCTAGGGGTGGCAGAGGAGCCTAAGCATGATTTGCAACAGCATATAAGTCTTAATGAAATAATAATGAATTATTAATTCATTATTGATTAATAGTTTTTTTTATGGTTTACTATAATTTGATTATTAATTACTTGTTAATTTATTTATTTATTACTTATTAATTTGTTGATTAATTAGTAATTATGAATTAATTATTAATAATTTAATTAATTCATTAATCATTCATTAATCATGAAGTAATTAATTGTTAATTAATAATTAATTCAATTAATTCATTGACAAATAACTAACAATTAATTCGCTGGCCAGTAGCGATAACCTTAAAACTTGAAATCGAAACCTTAAATTCTAACCTTTAAACCTTAAACCGTAATTTCCTAAACCTTATCCTTAAACCGTAAACCCTAACCTAAACCCATTAATTATTAACTGCTTAATTATTAATTGTTAATTATTAATTATTAATTATCAATTAACAATTAATTGTTTATTAATTAGTTATTAATAATAAAAACTAAGCATTAATTATTTACTATTTAATGATTGATTAATTCTTAATTAATTAATAATCAATTAAGTATTAATTATTAACTAATTATTAATTGATTATTAATTAATTATATTTCAATAATTATTAATTCAGTACTTTTTAAATAATAATAATTAATTATTAATTAATTATTAATAAATTATCATTCAATATTCATTAATGATTCATCATCATAGTATTAATTAATTATTAATTTATTAGTTAATTATTAAGTGGTTACGTAATAATTATCAATTAATTTATTATAATTAATTATAAATATGAACTAATTATGAATTATGAATTAATTCATTATTCATTAATTATTAATTTATAATTATTAATTATTAAATATTAATTATTAATTCTTAATTCTTAATTATTAATTATTAATTTTAATTATTATTTAAGTACTAATTACTTATTAACTAATTTCCACGATTTTCCACGATTAATTAGTTTATAATATATTATTGATTAATTATTTATTTAATTATTAAATCATTTTGTCGTTATTAATTAATTATTCATTAAGTATTAATTATTAATTAATTATTATTTAATTAATTATTACATAATTACTTCCTCGTCGAAGGTGAGTGTCCCATCCAGCCCACCCTCATCCCCTACAAAACTTGCCATGGCAAGCCTCTTTTGCTACGACAAAATAGTCGAAACACTTCGAGCACATATAACTATGGCACAAGTGAGCATAGATTCAAGATGCGGAAGACATATTTGCATGTCAAGTGAAAGAGAAAGCAACAAAAACGCAGCGGACTCATTTTACCTCCAAACCGAATATATATATATATAATTTTTTATACTTTTTTTATAACTATATTATACGAGAATACACGATAATATCAGATAATGGAAATTCAGGAGATTCGGGGTTCCTCCCCCCAGTTGCCGAGGTCCACGAAGTGGACGGGTCAGTTCACGCTGCTCCTGGGCCGCCATCCACCTTCGCCATGTGCTGCCCCGAACCTGCACGGGACAGCACACATGGGTCCACAATCATTGTGGATGACGTCTCTGCACGATTCGGATGGTGCACAAACTCCTGCTCCAGCGACGCGACGTGCGCGCAAGCCTCTGCCACTTTAGCAGGTTGCGCAACCCTGCTGCAAGCAGACTCATGGCAACCGGGATTCCCCAGCCGCGGTAGAAGGGTCAACAGATAACAATAATCATAATCGCAATCATAATCATAATCATAATAGTAGCAATAGTAAGAGTATGAATAGTAATAATCATCATCAGAATAATAATAACAACAATAACAGTCAGAATAGTAATAACAAGAATAAGAATAATAATCATAACAAGACAATAGTAGTAGTAATAAAAGCACCTATACTAATATATTCAGACTTATGATATTTATCTTTAGACGTATTATGAAAAGAGATCAAGAGCCAACGCGCGCTGCCCAGGCATCCGACACGGCAGAGCCTGCGCAGCCACCGCACTTCGCAGGTCCAGATCACAGGGAGATCCAGGCTCTCGGGCTTCGGCTCCACACTTGGGTTTAGGGTTTAGGGTTTAGGGTTTAGGGTTTAGGGTTTAGGGTTTAGGGTTTAGGGTTTAGGGTGAGAGAGAGGGTGTAGGGTTACAAGGCGCAAAGTGGGTTACAAGGTTGTAGCCTCCCCTCAACCCGTAAACCCCTGAACCCGAAGAAATTCTCCTCCCGGGTTTCGCGCGGGCAACTGTGCAGTGCGGCCCAGGCAGGCCTCAACTTCGACTGGTCTGCTCACCCTGACTTGACATGCATACCACTGGCATACTTGCATCCGTCATGTCTACTGAGCAATTGCCGAGAGAGGAACTTGAAGTAACGTCAGCAACTGATGGGGATAGGGCGAACACGTTCTCCAAGCTCCAAACCAAAGTTCTCGGACTGCGTGTGGTCACGCAAGGTCACATTCCCCAAGCTCCATCCCAAAGTTTGACCGGTCTCGCAGACAAATGGAGACCCCCAAAACAAGCCCCGAGGTTGACTTCTCGGCCTTTGGCTTTGCCGAAGTTGACAAGAGCTCGGAGACAGGCAACAGCAGAGGCAGGGGCGTTCTGGGGATGTGCAGTTTAGGGTTTTTCGGCTTAGGGTTAGGGAGGTGCTAGCAGAGCTCCTGGTCTCTGCTTTTGAGGATGAGGGCGGGGGGGTTGGTGCCTCGTCGTGGTTTGTGCCCTCCCTTGAGATTAGCACAGAAGATGGCCCTTGAATGCAGTGTGGAATCATGCTTCTGTGAGCCCCCCCGTTCGAAGTTACTCTCGACCCCTTCCCTGGCGTCGGCACCAGGTGATCCGGGCCAGAGCCGCCCCTCTGCTTCAAACAGGAGCACAGATGCTGGCATGGCAGAGTTTGAAGACCGGAGAAAAAGCCCCCTGACCGAATCAGTGCCAACTCGACCAAGGCTGGTGGAGTCTGCTGGCGCAAGCTTTGGACCTGGACAGGGACGAGGCTTTGGCCCCCTTGCCACCCACCTCAGCTCTACACCTTATACTCTTATACCCTACAAACGCGGAGGTGCCTACAAAAAAATTTTGAGACCACTTCGAACCCGAGAACACTGAACAGCTCTGCCCGCTGCCCAAACTTCTCGTCAGCCGCACTCCAAAAAAAGCCCTCCCCACCCCCACCCCCTCCCCCCTCCTCCCAAAAAAAAGTGGCCCCCAAAGTCCTGGAAGAGGTTTGCACGGGCCCCCCGCTGCCGTTTCGGCAGCGCTGGCCCCTGGCTCGCCTCAGCGTGGTGCCGGGGAAGATGGTGAACCTCGCACTTGTCCCTTGGGCCCTCCGGTTCCCTCAGGGTTCGAGGGGGTTATGGTTTTTTGGACAAATCGGTTCAATTCGAGGCTTCTTTTCAAGTAGGGCTTTCTTTTTCGCCGCTCAACTTTGGGTTGCATGTTTTTTCGATCTTGGCTGGTAGCATGCCCTAACACCCTTTTGATTCTGTTTGGGTTTTTTGGGCCAACATTGGGCTCAGTGGCTCTGTCGACCTCGGTAAACCGATTTGCCTCGCCCTTGGTCTCAGGGATTCTTGCCCCCCCCCCCCCACCCAAAAGCCCCCAAGTGTCAGGTTCTCTTCATGACCCAGGCCTACATGGCTCCTTGTCCTTGGTTTGATGAAGGAGTGCCTGCAACTAATGTGGCGTGTATGAAGCTCCGAATTGAGGGTTCCTCTTTCACAATGTTGCAACTTTATGCTGCTGCTGGCTGTCGGTGCCAGAAGTGTGAAAGATGTGTCGTGCTTCAGCGGGAGCCAAGGTCTATGCCCCATCGGATCCGATCTTATCCAATCCCCTGGGCGTGCCGGAGGTGGCAAGGGAGAACCCGGACAGGCTGAAGAGGGCCATCAACCAGCCGCCCGAGTGGCTTCTGGACATTTTTTTCTGGGAACACCCTTTTCTTGGGACTGTTTTGAAAGGGCGCATCAAAACAATCAAAACTCTGTGATCCGAGTTAATTCGGTTCCTTCTTCCCAAAAGCCTCTTAGAGAGTTGCTGAGGATACCTGTGGCCGACTCGGACGACCGGCTGAAAATCGAGAAGATGGCCTGCAGCTACCTCTTCCTCTGCCTCGCCCTCTTCTTCGTGCTGAAGTTCCTCCTGACAGGCTTCGCGTGGCGCCGGGCGCGGAAGCCACCGGAGGAAGCAATTCGACCGTCGTGGCCGGCAAAGTCTAGCTTCGCAGCCTGGAAGCTTTATGTGGAGCAATGGCTGCGGTACAAGTCTTACATCACCAGACCGGGAACCAAGCTTTACTGGCTTCAGGTGAACGCTTTGAATCTCTTTGAGGTCACGCTGCAGTTTTTACAGCTTTGCACCTATGGCGGCTTCGATGTCTACAGCTTCGACTACATCCCGGCCATGGATGATCGCATCGTGTTTCTCCAAGCTGTGTTCCTCTGTGTCGATTTGTGGTCCATCTCCATCAACACCTTCTTCGGACTGCTCCGTTGCCAGGTGATTTCGGAGGTTGTGATTAACTCTCTGTATTCCTTTTGCACCATCCTGGCACTTGGTGGTGTGGCTCACCGGCCCTCCTGGACCGTGGTGGTCAATCCTGAGGCCTTTTGGCAGACCTTCTTTACAACCGCCTATGCTTTCCTGGGGGCCCGGCGGGCGCTCGAAGTTCTGGACGTGAACATCTTGCAGGGGCTGGGCCCCGAACCACCTTTGCATCAGGAGTCCTTCGAGAGGCGCTCCTGCTGCTGCGCTCAGGTGACGAAGTGCCCTTCCAGTACACATTTTGTTCGCTTTCACCTTCCTTCCTTGCTGCTGTATGCCCATGCCCCCTCTTTTTTGTTGGAGTACGTGCCGGCTTCCCGGGACTTCGGCGCTCATTCCGGGATGAGGGCGGTAGGGGGGAATGGGGGTTGAGGTGGTCATCCGGCCCCTCCTCGGCCTGGCAATCGTGTTTTGGGCCGCCATGGCTTCCATGACAGACTGCAGCATCCTCAACGCTCAAGCCGGCTGGGTGTGCCCGTACGTCACGCATCCCTTGCTCCTTGCAATCTGGTTCGGCAGCCGTCCTTACTTCATGTGTTTCGTTTGATTGCACGCAATAACTAAAACAAAGCTTCAGAAACTTGGCCCAGGTTTGAAAGTCCAAGCTGCAACTGCCGGGCACTGTACTTTTTGCCAGATCCGGAGAAGCCTTGCAACGTCACATCTCTGGTCGGGATCAGCAAGCACGCAACCACGGTGTCGCCGGGCTGCCTTTGGCAACTTAAGAGCAGCTTCCTAAGCTTGCGAAAGCCCACCCGAGCCAGTACAACCCTCGTGGGCTGTTGAGGCAGTATTTCGGAGTTGTTGGCGCTGCTGGCAGTGCTGGCACCGCATCATACTGTAACCTGGACGACGCCTTGTGGCTTGGCTGCTCTTCGAGAGTCTTGCGAGCCGGCCATAGGCTACCAAGTTGACGCAATCTCGACTTGAATGCCGGAAAACTTAAGCTTAAGCCTGCCAAATTCATCAGTTTGACGTCCTGTGCGGCGGCGGCCAAGGTTGGGGCGCATCCAGCCAGAGTTCTTTCAGTTCACCATCCAGGTGATGGTCATGTTTGCAGACGAGGCGGGGGCTTCCCTCAGACCCGTTTTCATGCCTTAGCTGCCCCGAAACCCGCAGCAAAGTCACAAGCCACAATGTGGCAAATGTACAGGTGTCATAGTGCCTGTTATGTCATGTTGGTTCCTACAGCATCATGCGATTTACGGTTGCGTCTGGGTCCCCACTTGTCCGAAATGCACAGATATCATATCCGGCAATGAAATCCTGGCAGAGCTCAGCAGCTTTGGCATGTCCAGCTTGCACTCACGAATCCGCTGTCCTCCAGAACCTTAAAAAAAGCAAAAAGCCCCAAAAATCGAAGCTCGACATCAGCCCCTTGCAATCATCCCGTTGCCCAACAACAGCTGAGCGGAGTAATCTGACTCCGGCTGGGAACATGCTCTTCGAACTGACTGTCCAGGTGCAAGCTTTTCCCGATCGCCTCGAAGCCGCAAGCAAACTGGAGAAGATCATGTGGGTCGGCGGGAACATCACTAGGACGCCGTGTTCGGAAGACATTTCTTTTGTTTGGGGGGGGGGGGGTGGGGGGGGTGGGGGGGGAATTTAGGTTTCTGGAGGATGCTCCTACCGAGCAGGGCTGGGGGAGGTAGTCTAGGCGGGCCATGGGGTGCCTATAATTGATTTCGAGTCAGAAGTAGGGGTGGTTTGTTTCAATTATACATTTAGAGAGACATACTGTTGTCAACTTCTTCAGGCTTTTCTGGATTACCCTCCAAGCTCCCGGGATGCTTCCTGAGGATACCACGGTGGCTGACAGGTTTGAGCCAGCTCACCTACATGGCCTTCACTCTAAATCCTGTGGCTCAACATATTGCAGAGTAGACCTTTTGCTTTCGCTTGCGGTCGGCAGCAGTTTCTTTTTTTGGAGTCGTTCTTGCTAGAGGGATGCTGCTATAGTTCAGCCCGCTCTCTAGCAGCTGATTCGCAAGCTGTCAATCCCAGGTGTGTTTTGAAACCAGCGAATTCGACTTCTGGAGCAGCTGGGCTTAACTCGCGGGGGTTTGTTGTGGGGGCGTCAGGCACCAAGCCCCTGGAGGAAGGGCTGATTATGGCAAGGACATCCACTCATGTCCCGTAGTTGTTCCGAAAAGGGCTTCCAGGGATCCGTTCCAAGGTGTGACTGCGGCAATCTCTTAGCAATGGCGGCGTTGAACGGGTGTTGGGGGCGACCTCGGGGGCCGAGCCGAAAAAACGGGTGTGAGCTTAGGAGCGGGGGCGCGCCTTCAAAGCCGTGCTGCGTCGGGTGGGTGATATGGGGGCGGGCGGTGGGGCACGGACTGTAAGCGGTTGCTCGGATGTGGCGTTACGGACGAGACCGGGGGCGTGACCGGGCAGCATGAAGGCTTCGTCATTCGTTGTTGTTTTTGCCGGCTTGACCAGTAGTAGCTGTTTCGTGCTTCCATCAACGCATCGAGCCGCACAGTTCCCGCGGCACCGGGTTTTATCCCAAGCGTGTTTTTTTTTAGTCCTTGTGCTCGAAAGAATTTCCTTGTGATTTGCTCTGGTTTTTTCGCAGCTTTGGATGGGAAACATCATTTTCGGGGGACCCAGATTCCGCTTCCACTTCTCCATTCAGGCAAGTTTATGGCAGAGAAGTACGACTTCGACCCAGCCAATGGCACTGCGTTGGTCGAACATTTCGCGTGCATTGAGCACTATGACATTGGAGCCGTCACTGATCTTGTCCTAGTAGTAGAGTAGGTAACCTTTTACCTTGTTGGGGTAATATAATCCCCTTATAATCCCAAGGGTTAACCTTCAGTTCCCCCAGGTCACTGATCTTGTCCGGAAAGCTTCCCAGAGCAACCAGACAAACAGCTCGGACAATGCAACTGACGGCATCTTGACAGCCCAGTGTGGTGCCCTTTTGCCCTGCTTTGTTTTTGGTTCAAGGTTCCCTTTCTAAAATAACCCCCCCAAAACGGGTACCCTCATTATAGTAGGGTTATAGTTATAATGACTGCGCTACTATGAAGGCATCTGCACCCCGGATGGAATGGAGATATGGCAGGAGCTGGAGTCGGTGCTCCATAGATGCCAGGACGACCGGAACAACGAGACGGCCTGCTTGCCCGGCTGCCTCCTGGTCTCCAGCACGGCGGACCCGCATGACGTTCGGGAGCTTTGGGTGAAGCTGGCGCTTTGGCACCCTCAACTCCCCCCCCCTCCCCAAAAACAATGTGTGTGTATATACATACATACATACATACATACATACATACATACATACATACATACATGTATATATATATATATAGATATATGCATGTAACAAGAAAGCAGGCAAAGCAGAATGTACCGAAAGCATGCAAAAACGGCAGTGGTGAGAAGCGTGACCAGAGAGTGTTTTTTCTGTTGGGAGAGGAGCCCTAAACCCTACACCCTACACCCTAAACCCTAAACCCTGAACCCTAAACCCTAAGCCCTAAACCCCAAACCCTAAACCCTAAACCCTAAATACCCTAAACCCGAATCTGTTTGCTTCTGTTGGGAGAGGAGCCCTTTGGTGGCCTGGACCACCAGGAGGCCACGGTCATTGCCCCCAGCTTGGGTTTCCCAACTGTGAGCCTCTCCAACCTCCGATTCTTGGAGCTAAGAAAAGGGTTTAGGGTTTAGGGTTTCGGCTTTGGGGTTTGGGGTTTAGGGTTTAGGGTCAGGGTTTATGGGTTAGGGACGTTCTGCCCGAAGGTCCGCTCCTCTCGTACCCTCGAAGCTTTAAAACCGACTCACGCTCTCTAGGCTCAGGGTACGGTCCTCTGGGCTTGCTGTTTAGATCCTGCTTCTGTGCGTTCCCTTTCTCTCAAGAAGACGAGATAAGGATGCGTCATGCACATGTCAAAGTGCCAGCGGCACGATCGCCTTTCAGAAGAGCAGCAGCTGCACCCTGGCTTTTGCAGGCTCCGAACGCTTTGCACAGGGCTTTGGGTTTTGTTTACCGGGGTGTTTAGGGTTTATTGAAGACTTCGGACGTATCTGAAGGGGCTTTCACAAACTGTTGCAGTGGGTCCCGAGGGAGGCATCTTGCCGAGCTGTGCGAAAAACCCGCCTGAGGAACTACATTTGGTACTCGACCGCGGCCTTGATTCTGGTGAAGAGCCGATGCACAGACTGCGATGGCTTCCACTCCATGGAGATACCTGAGATACCCTGATCTCACCTCACAATGCTTTTTTGTTTATGTCGGAGAGCATGGCGCCGTGCCGAAGGCATAGATTGGCGTCTTCGATTTGGGATTGAGTCCTGACAGGCAAATGCGGACTGGCCCTGGGCGTGGGACTGCGGCCACATAGAACGTATCAGTGCCCGTGTCGGCCACACTCGCGGCAGTTTTCTTGTCAGATGTTTGACAGGCCCCAGGCCTCTTCCCAGGCCTCTTCAAGTTTTTCAACATGAGGCAACTTCTGCCTCATGTATGGATGAGGCATTATAGGGGTCGCAGAGCGTTCAGGGGCCACTAAGGCGATTTTCAGGATGCTGTGAGCAACTCGGCTCAGCATGGCAAACGCCTCGGGCCATAGTCTTTTGCCTCAAACATCTCAGAGCACTGTGGAGAGGGTCGACGACCCTCCTGCATCATGGCCTGACTCTTGCCATCCAAATGCCAGAAGCATGCATGAGCAGGGCAGGCTTCGTATGTTGGCACGAAATTCGGAGGGGAGTCTGTGAGTTCACTCTCTGTCGATTCTGTTGCTGGTCAGAAAAACGAAAAAAACCCTTCGATTACTTCAATCGAGGCCGCCTTGCCGTCGCCTTCTGAAGCCTCGCAGTCTGGTCTGCAGTCTGGTCTGCAGTCTCGGAGCCATCCCGCCCCCGCAGCCCACATCCAAAATTTCTGGGTCTGGCAGGGTCCCATTCTACATAGCTCCTTAGATGCATTGAGGTCTGTTGACTATCGGGCGGGGGGGTGGGGGGGGGGGGGGCACTTTCTTGTGTCATGCATGTGCAGTGTCCGGTCTGTATGTCAGTTCCCACGTCCACGGCCCTGCCCTGAATCCCTCCTTCACACTCGCAGCAGTTGCGGTCAGATGTTTGAAAGGGCCTATCCCCAGGCCTCCTCCTCAAGTTTTCAATGCATGAGACAACTTGTCTCAGAATGGATCTGGTTATTCTCCACCATCGTTTGGCAATCATGTGGTGGTGTAGTGTGGGAGCTCAGGCTGTTTCGGGGCATTTCAGGTTTATGAAGGGTAGGGCTTGGGTGCGATGAGCAACTCGCTCGAGCGTTGCAAAGGCCTCAGGCAGCAGTCTTGTCTCAAGCAGCTCAGCGACGTGGAGAACCGCTCCCCGTAACCTCCGTAGATTAGTTGGTTAAATTTTCGATTCTGCGGGCATTGAGTGAACAGAGCATTCAAAGCCGGAAAGTTGGCAAAGAAAACGCTTTAGACGTCCATCGGCTCAAGATGTTTGCCAAATCCCTCCCTTCGACAAGTCTTGGTACGTGTACTCTTGAGAAGCAGGGGAGCTTTTGCTTGTTTCACCTTCCATATGCCAACATTGTAAAGTTCCACTCATCCTTCCGCAGGTTGTGGGGCCCCCGTGCCTTGCCCCTGTGCATTTGTCTTTTTCTCAAGCAGTCGAAGTGATCACGATCACGAAAGCTCGCCGCAGAGATTCGATTCTTTCGTTTTTGATTTTGAGGGCTTTGAGTACGTAGACAGAGTTGGCCTCCTTCTCCCAAGGACATTCCGAAGACCTCCCCAATTCTTCTTGTCAGGTACGAAGCCGAGCAACCCCCCCCCACCCCACCCCTCCAACCCGAGACTTCCCTACGAGCACAGTTCCGCCTTGGGCACTTCGCAGCTCCATCGGCTCAAGGTGTTTGCCAAATCCTTGCCTCCCTGCTTTTGGAAGCAGGGGAAGCTTTCCTATAAGTTTCACCTTCCATACGCCAACATCGGCCAACATTGTAGATGATGTGGGCCCTCCGTGCCTTATGCCCTCTCTGCTGGCTCCTGGCATCGCCCGAGCGCCCGGAGCTCGGCTCATGTACCACTTGGGCTGATAAGCTCCATATGTATATCTATCTATATATATATATATGTATATATATATATACTTACTAAAATCATATACTCTACATCGTATATCTACATATGTAAGGCTGATCATCATTCGTATGATTCTGTCAGTTTGCAAGATCGAGGCGTGGATCCCACCCTGCGCATGGAGAACGTGGAGAGCATGGAGAACGTGGACAGGGACAGGGCCAGCAGCTTCTTGCTCCACCGCTGTGGGGTCCTCGGTGCAGGTTGTAGGCGGCTTGTGGTTTTATAGACGTTGCACACGGGGCCTGGGGCAGGGACGCGGCCGCAGCCGGAGGCACAGACGCAGGCACAGCCGCAGGTGCAGGCGTGCAATGAAGGGGCAAACTGTTGTCTTTTGGTGCTTGCAAGCAAGCGAGTTCCGAAATGCCTTCGGAAGGTGGAGGAGGCTGAGCTGCAGGGGGAACGAACCCTGCCGCAGACCCTGCCATGCCACAACAACAGCCTCGTGCTGTCCGGAGAGTACGAGGCGGTCCGGAGACAGGGCTTCATTGTGCAAGTGACGCTGCTTTTCCTGCGGCGCCTCTGGAAAGGTCAAGGAGGAACTCGTGCTGCAGGGTCCCTGCAACATCAGCGCGACCGGCTGGGGCCTTTTCCTTGGACGGGACCCGTAGGCGTCCTGGCTAGTTTGAGTTGTGTGGTGTGTGGGATCATGCCTGTTTTCTTGTCCTCGCTTAAGGCGCACAGCTGCGGCTCCGGGCCCCCATCGTCTTCAACGGCAACGTGGCCCTCAGCGGGAACCTGACGATCGTGGGAGGCGGAGGCCCCCCCTTCGAGAAGGCCTGCACTTCGGTGCGCGGCGACCTCCTCCTGAACGCCGGGTCGCACCTGCACATCGAAGGCTGCCGGAGCAGCGAAGTCAAAGGTGAAGGAGGGTGCCTGCAAGTTTCGAAGGACCTCGAGATCCGTGGAGGAGTGCACCTTGCGAATTGCCACGCAGAAGGTTATGGAGGGGGGGCCTCCGTTCAAGGCCGGCTGTGTTGGCTCCACTCGCGTCGGTGTTCGGTGTCGAGCAAAAGTCCAAGTTTTTCCATCTGAGTCGGCCCGAAGGCAACATCCGCCTCACGGGAGGCAAGCTCTATGCAGAGAGCTGCAGCGCCAAGCGTTTCGGAGGCAGGCCAGCGAGGTCGTTCGGGGTGTTCCTAAGAATCTAGGAGCCAGAAGTGCGTCGGAGCTTCTGACATGCGAAGACGTCTCGTCTGTCTCAAAACGATGGCAAGTACGAGGATCGCGGCCCTTGCCCGATCCTGCAACTGTCTGTCTGCAGTTTTGCCACGAGCACAAACGGATTTCTGGCGTCCAAAATGATGATGACAATTACGGGGATCGCAACCCCTATAATGGGCCCGAAACAACAACAAAGAAAACACAACACTTAAGAGAGTCCTCAACTAGTTCCAGTCACGAACCAAATTCACAGTGAACTTGACGTGTGCAAAGTGCATGAAAACAGTGGGTGGTGGTATTTAGTTAGTTGGTATGTTTTAACAGTCTTAACTCACAGCCTGCCGTGTCCGTGAAATACACTGGCACAATAGAGGCCAACTGATAGATTTCAAATTCAACTGAAAGACGAACGTTTTCTTTGTGAACTGGTCAAGCGGTCGCTCAGAGCCTTTAGAAGGCCTTGAAGAGGACTGAATGGGGGCCTTAAAGATCGGCTGTCCAAGTTGCTTTTTTTGGGTACACATCCAGAATGAACAGCAGGTCGGAGGGACCTGGAGCGTTACGGACATGAAGGTTTAAATTTGAATGCAATTGTGGGTCGGCTACAGGGAGCGCACCGCCGCGTCGCAGAGTTTTGCACTCTCTAGCGGCAGCAGGGGCCTCGCTTTCGGCAGATTCTTCCTACTGCCGTGGCAAACTTGTGTTCAAAAAAGAGTCCGCCAAGGTTGTTTGCAATGAGCCTCAGTGTACCGAGGGCTCCAAGGTCCTACGCAGTCTCGGCGAACCAGTAGCTGTTTCGTACCTCAATCAACGCATCGAGTCACCCCGTTCCTGCGGCACGTGTTTTTTCCCTTAAACCACGCACACAAATTCAGGATGAGGCCTAGGTCAAGATCTGAAGTGCCAGTGAGGCTTTTCGGCTGTGAAATGCAACGGAGTCGAATTGCAACGTGCTTGATCCTGCATGCTCAGAGAGGGATGAGGCTGAGAACCGGCTTGGGGCTGCATAGGCTTCGAGGATGGCTGGAGCCCTAAGAGCCGGAACGAAGCCGCCACCCCCCTCACCCCCCGATGGCTTATGAACTCTTATAAACAAAGTCTGGTGAAGTGCTGCTAAGAGGTCAAGAGTATGCTTGCCTTAAACATGTAGGAACAGGAACGGTTCCGTCAACAGGAACAATGTCTGGAGATCGCGGTTTTGAACTTTTTTTGTTGGCGATTGTTGTGGCTTTCACGATGAGTTCAAAAAGCCAGCAAGTGTAGTCTGGGGCCAAGTACGCCTCCAATTCCTACTTGCACGATGAGGTCGATTGCTACATTCTCCCCCCCTTCAACAGTCGAAGCTGGCTTTTGCCCTTTGAACGGTCCACGTGTTTTCCGTGATTTTAAATGGGAGGAGTTCTATGAGTTTAAGGGGGACCGTGAGGCCCGGCAATTGAGAGCCCTACGAAATTTCTTGCCACACCCGGACGATTCTGAAAAACCCTGCCAGCTTGGCTTTAGAGGGTACCCCAATGAAACCGCGTCCATCATGAATTATGTGTGCACCAATGAGACCCCTGACATTCCATGTGCTTGTATGCCTTGGCCTCCGGGAGTGTGTGTTGAGTTCGTCCGTGTTGTGGCTTGTTAAGCAAATGTCCCAGCTTTGGAAAGCAGGTGGTGCGCCCAGGGAGTGGCTTCGAGCGTTTGAGGATTTGAAGGTTGCAGTTTTAGATGAAGATCGCCTGCCCTAGCCGAAGGGTTGAAGGGGGCACCCGGAGTTTCTGTCTAGGGAAGCTTTTGGCAACATTCCAGGCCCGGGCGCTTGCCGACCTAATTACTTCTAGTTGCAAAGTAAGGTCGCCCCCCAAGGGTCCCACAGCTGATTTGGAGCTTCTGGAGTCGTCAGCCCAGGGCCTCAATTTTCCGATAAAAGTTCTTGAAATGCCAGGGTCCGGCTGGCAAACACCTTCCCTCCCTCCTCGGCCGGAGGCGCCCTCCGTTCCGGCAACATCGCGATCAGCGACGCCTCCATCGAGGTCCGCAATGTGACGGCCAGAAGAGGAGGCGCGGGCCGCAGCGGGGACCCTGCCTAGAGCCGATAGAGAGGCCTCCGGACAGCCAGCAGGGGCCAGTGGAGGGTTCACCTGTTCTCATGCCCTTAAGGATCTTAATCAATAGAGGTGAGGTGGAGTTGATGCAGTCAACTCTGGGGATGTTCTGGCCGGGCAAAGGGTTCCGGCTTTGGTGGTGAGCAGCGGCAAACACGTCTTGATCGTTGTTCGATGCTACCACAATGAGCAAATGTCCGGGCTTTCTCTGAAAGCCACACATTCCTGGGACCAGCCAGATTGCAAAAATGGGCGGGACTGCGACCCTGAACTCGACATGAAGAAGGAGATGAAGGAGATGTCCCCGTCAAGCCACGTTTAGGAATACATGCATCGGATCACTTTGTTTGCAAACGCTACCTCTTTTGGATACACCGGCAAGAAAACGCTAAAGGCTCAGAAGCTTCACAGCTCTGACTCTGCAAACAAAAAGGGCATGCTCATGGGACCGACACAGGAGCGCCAACTCGAACACCGGGAAACGGAAGTCCCTCCAGAACGGACGCGTGAAGGGAAGCTATCGATTATCTAAGAGCCAGAAGCCCATCGAAGCTCCTGACGCGCCAAGACTTCATGTCTGTCATTGTCTGTCCCAAAACGATGGCACTTAGGAGGATCGCGGCCCCTGCCCGATCCTGTCCTTGCTTGCAGTTTCGACGCGCACACAGACTGACAGGAGACGTCCAAACTTGTGACAATTGATCACGAGCCCTAAAATGGGCCCCAAGCAACTACAAAGAGCCCCAACCAAATGCACAGTGTGCACAGTGTAAGTTCATGAAAACATTGGGTGCTGTTAGTTGGGTGTGCCTTCTACATCTTGAACTCGCAGCCTGCCCACGGCAGCAGTACACTGGCACAAAATTCAACTGCAAGTCTCAGCCCCAGTTGTTTCCTACAAAGAATCGCTTCATTTGTGAACCAAGATGCTGAAAGCAGAGCAGGTCGGAGTGACCTGGAACATTATAAGGATTTGAATGTTTCATTTTATGGGTCACTTGCAGGGAGCGCAGCGCCGCATCGCGGAGCCTTGCGCCCTCAAAACCGGGGGCTCAGTTTGGCACACGCTTCCTCGAACATGCTGTGGCAAACTTGAGTTCAAAATCGCTGGGCCAAGGCGTTAGTTTACAATGAGCCCCACAGTGCATGGAATAGAGAGAGGGATGAGGCTGAGACTGTACACCAGGCTGAAGGGCGTCTTGTCTTCGCGGATGCTTGGCTTAAGCCCCAATTGACCCACGACCCGAGACCCTTAAGCCCGAAGCCGCTCAATGCCCCACGCTGGCGTGTAACAAGGTCAGAACTTGAGTTAGCAAACGTACCCGGCTATCCAAAGTTCCCATGAGCGCTTCAAAGTTTGCTTCCCTGGAAAGTGCCGCTACGAGGACAACAGTTTGCTTGCCTTCAAATGAGAAACGCCTGATGTGCTTGTATGCCTTGGCCTCCGGGATTGCGTTGAGTTGGTCCGTCTTTTGTCATCTTTTGTCTTATCTGCTTCGGCTTTAAGCAACGGTCCCGGCTTTGGGAACGCAGGTGGTGCGCCGCGGTAGCGGCTTCGAGCGTTAAGGATTTGAAGGCTTCATATTTGAAAGAAGATCGCCTCCCCTATGGGGCCGGGCCCGGCCCCTGGAATTTCTTTAAATTAGAGGTTTCCAAATAGCTTCTTTGCAACGTTCAGGGCCCGGGCGCCGCCGACCTGGCAATTTTTTATGAAAGGCAAGGGTCGCCCCCAAAGGGTCCACAGCTCATTTGGAGCTTCCGGAGTCAGCCCAGAGCCTCATTTTTGTTTCCCCGAACGCCCTTGAAATCCCACATGGTCGGGCGGGCCACGTTAAGAAGGCCCCCTCAGGAACCGACGAGGACCTCCGCACTCCCTCCTCGGCCCGAAGCCGCGGAGGCGCCCTTTATTCCTCCTACAAGATGTCGATCGCCAACGCCTCTCTGGAGGTCCACAATGCGATGGCCGAATATGGAGGCGCGGGCCGCAGGGGGGGGGGACCCTGTCTGGAGCGAGGCCTCCGGACAGTCAGTCTTGAGGGTTCATCTCCAGGCTCCGGATCCTAGTTGATCTTGTCAATGATGCGCTTTTTTTCGTTTTGGGTTTTTGTTGGGAGGAGGGAAAGGGTTCCGGCTTTGGTTGTGGTTTTCCTTGGCCCTGGTAAGCAGCGGCAACCGGACTCAAGGGAGGCCTTAAGCATTCCGAGTTTCTTTTTTTTCTGGTACACGCCCTAAAAGAACAGCAAGTCGGAGGGACCTGGAACGTTACGGACATGAAGGCTCATTTTGAATTGTGCACCCTCTAATTGGATCACTTAGTTGGCGAACAGACTAGCAGACGACCTCTTTCGGACACTCCGGCAGGAAGGCGCTAAGGCCCCAAAGCTTCAGAGCTCTCACCTTCACTTAACAAAAAAGAGCATGCTCATGGGACCGACACGGGAACAGACGTCCACCCAGAACGCACGCGCGAAGCGAAGCCACTTATTATCTCAGAGCCATAAGCCCGAGGATCGCGGCCCCTGCCGCTTCCTGCACTTGTCTGCAGTTTTGGAACACACACAAAGGCTGACTGCTCGTCCAGAATGCTGACAGTTTACGAGGATCGCGACCCCTATCATAGGCCCGAAGCCCGAAGCATCAGCAAAGAGCACGCAACACTTAAGAGTGAGTGACCAGCTAGTTCCGGTGCACCGTGAACTTGACGTGTACAGAGTTGATGCAAAGATTGGGTGTTGGTAGGTGGGTATGTCTTCTACATCTTTGAACATGCAGCGTGCTTTGTTCACGAAAGAAGTACATTTGCACAATAGAGGCCAGCTGATACGCTACAAAATCAACTGACGGTCTCAGCCCCCCTCGGGTCAAGCTGTGGCAGCGAACCCTCCAACAGGCTCCCAGAGCCTTCCGAACGCCCCGAAAAGAGGACTCAAGGGGGGCTTGAGCAGGTCGGAGGGACCCTTTAACGTTACGGACATGAAGGTTTCATTTTGAATGAAATCATGGGCCGCCTATAGGGAGCACAGCGCCGCATCGCAGAGTTGTGCACCCTCTAATTGGAGCTGGGGCTCGCTTTGGCAGACTCTTTCCGCCATTCCTTTAGCAAACTTATGTTCAGAGTCGTTTGGCCGAGGCTTCTACAATGAGCCCGGAATGCACCGAACAGCCAGCAGGCTTATGGTCGTTTAGTCTTCAGACCCGACCCCCTCAAGCCCGAAAGTGCTGCTAAGAGGTGACAAGTTTGCTTGCCTGAATTATGAGGAAGTTTGGGAACACATGTATCGGATTACTTTGTTCACCCCGGCGGGAAATATGCACTTCACAAGAAGAGCATGCTCATAGGACCGACGCGGAAACGGAGGTCCCTCCAGAGCGGACGCGTGACGGGAAGCCATCGACTATCTAAGAGCCAGAAGCCCATCCGAGCTTCTGACACGCGAAGACTTTATGTCCGTCCCAAAACGATGGCAGTTACGAGGATCGCGGCCCCTGCAAGAGCCTGTACTTGCCTGCAGTTTCGACACGCACACGGACTAGGCTCGCGACCCTGTATAATCGGCCCGAAGCGACAAACAAAAGTAATGCAACACTCACTCTCAAAACTAGTTTCGGGTCCCGACTAGTTGCAAAGTAAACTTGACGTGTACAAAGCTCATGAAGAGATTGTGTGTTGGTAGTTGGCATCTTGAACTCGGCAGCCTGCCTTGTCCTACATTGGTACAATAGAGGTCAAAAGACGCTAAGTTCGACTGCAAGTCTCAGCCCCCCGTGTTTCTATAGACAATCGCATCATGTGTGAACCAAGGTCCATTTTTTTTTGTGGGGGGGGGTGGGGGGGAGGTACACATCCTGAAAGCACAGCAGGTCGGAGGGACCTGGAACGTTCAGGACTTTCGACTTTTTGGTCGCCTACAGGGAGCGCTGCATCGCAGAGCCTTGCGCCCTCAAAAGCGGGGGCTCAACTTGGTACACGCTCCCTCGAGAATCACTCGCAAGCATACGGATGATTAATGCTGCGGCAAACTTATGTTCAAAATCGCTTGGCCAAGGCGTTTACAATGAGTCACAGTGCATGGAATAGAGAGGGATGAGGCTCCAAAGTTCCCATGCAAGCTTCTAAAGCTTGCTTCCCTGGAAAAGTGCCGCTACGAGTTCAACAGCTGGCTTGCCTTCGAAACTGAGAAACTCCGGGTGCTTCATAGGAAGGATCTTTGGAGCTCACGGTGAAACTTGAATTGTTCGGAGTTCGCACTAGCCATGTGCCGCATCATCTACTGCACCTGCATTTTTTGTGCAACAATTAGACGAATCAGACCCCCTGACATTCCATGTGCTTGTTGATGCCTTGGCCTCCGTTATTGTGTTGAGTTGGTGCGTCTTGTTTTCTCTGCTTCGGCTTGTGAAGCAACTGTCCCGGCTTTGGGAAAAATTGTGGTGCGCATAAGGAGTGGCTTCGAGTGCTAAGGGTTTGAAGGCTTCATTTTTGAAAGAAGATCGCCTCCCCTAGCCGAAGGGTTGAAGGGGGGCGCCCCCTGCTCCTGCAATTCTTCTAGTGCTCTTCCCTGGAAAAGTGCCGCTGCGAGGACAACAGTTTGCTTGCCTTCAAAATGAGAAACGCCTGATATGCTTGTATGCCCTGGCCTCCGGGATTGCGTTGAGTTGGTCCGTCTTTTGTCATCTTTTGTCTTATCTGCTTCGGCTTTAAGCAACGGTCCCGGCTTTGGGAATGCAGGTGGTGCGCCGCGGGAGCGGCTTCGAGCGTTAAGGATTTGAAGGCTTCATATTTGAAAGAAGATCGCCTCCCCTAGCCGAACGGTTGAAGGGGGCCGCGCCCGGCATCTGGAATTTCTTGACGGGTTCACAAATAGCTTCTTTGCAATGTTCGGGGTCCAGGGGCTGCCGACCTGGCAATTTTTTATGAAAGGCAAGGGTCGCCCCCAAAGGGTCCGCAGCTCATTTGGAGCTTCCGGAGTCGTCAGCCCAGAGCCTCATTTTTGTTTCCCCGAACGCCCTTGAAATCCCACATGGTCGGGCGGGCCACGTTAAGAAGGCCCCCTCAGGACCCGGCGAAAACCTCCACAAAGCACCTTCCCCCCCTCCTCGGCCCGAAGCTGCGGAGGCGCCCTCTATTCCCACAAGATGTCGATCGCCAACGCCTCTCTGGAGGTCCACAATGCGATGGCCGGTGAATATGGAGGCGCGGGCCGCAGGGGGGGGGGGCCCCTGTCTGGAGCGAGGCTGCCGGACAGTCAGTCTTGAGGGTTCATCTCAAGGCTCCGGATCCTAGTTGATCTTGTCAATGATGCGCTTTTTTTCCTTTTGGGTTTTTTTTGGGGGGAGGGAAAGGGTTCCGGCTTTGGTTGTGGTTTTCCTTGGCCCTGGTAAGCAGCGGCAACCTTGGCAAGCACGTGTTCAACCTCCCCCTCCCCCACCTCTCTCCCCAAGCTTTCTCTGAAAGCCGCACATTCTTGGGACCAGCCTTGACGGCAAAATGGGCGGGACTGCGACCCTGAACTCGACATGAAGAAGGAGATGCTTGTCCCCGTCAAGCCCAGGTTTAGGAATACATGTTTCGGATCACTTTGTTCGCGCACAGACTACCTCTTTTTCAGACGCCTCGGCAGGAAAGGGCAATGGCCCAAAAGCATCAGAACTCTCACCTTGCAGTTCTCAAAAAGAGCCTGCTCATGGGACCCACGCGAAGACTTCATGTCCGTCCCCAAAGCGATGACAGTTAGGAGGATCGCGGTTCCTGCCCGCTCCTGCACTTGTCTGCAGTTTTGGGGTACACGCAAAGGCTGACGGGAGGCGTCCAGAATGCTGACAGCTACGAGGATCGCTACCATAGTCATAGGCAACAGCCAAGAGCACGCAACACTTGACAGAGAGTGTATGAACTAGCTCCGGTGCACCCTGAACTTGACGTGTACAAGTTCGTGAAAAGATTCGGCGTTGGTAATTGACATCGCAGCCTGCCTGCCTTGTCCATGAAAGATGTACATTGGTACGATAGGGGCCATCACAGTACAAATTCAACTGGAAGTCTCAGCCCCCCTGGTTTCTATGGACCGCAGCATTTGTGAACGAAGCTCCATTTTTTGGGGGGACACACATTATGCTGAAAGCATAATGAGCAGGTCGGAGAGACCTGGAACGTTTAAGGATTTGAAGGTTTCATGTTGAATTATGGGTCGCCTACAGGGAGCGCAACGCCACATCGCATAGCCTTGCGCCCTCAAAAGCGGGGGCTCAATTTGGCACACACACACACACACACTTCCTCGATAATGCCGTGGCAAACTTTTGTTTTCAAATCGCTTGGCCAAGGCGTTTAACTACAATGAGCCACAATGCATGGAATAGAGAGGGATGAGGCTGACACTGTGCAGGCTTAAGGCCGTATTGGCTGCTGGTTGGCTTAAGCCCCAACTGGCCCAAGACGACCCATACCCCTTAAGCCCGAAGCCGCCCAACGCCCCACACTGGCGTAGAACAAGGTCAGCCCTGAAGTTAGCAAACATACCTGGCTATCCAAACTTCCCATGCACGCTTCCAACGTTTGCTTTGCTGGAAAAGTGCCGCTTCGAGGACAACAGTTTGCTTGCCTTGCACATGTGAAACTCCGAACTGTTCCGTATCTCCTGCGTTTCTTTTCGCCGAATAGCGCTTCCAATTCCTACTTTCACGATGAGGTCGATTGCCGCATTTCTTCCTGCAGTTGGCACTACCCATGTGCCACATCATCTACCGTACCTGCGTTATTTGTGTAGCGATGAGACCCCCTGACATTCATGTGCTTGTCATTGTATGCCTTGGCCTCCGGTAAGGATTTCACGGCTTTATTTTAGAATGAGGCCGCCTCCCCTAGCCGAAGGGTGGAAGGGGGGGCGCGCCTGGCATTTCTTTCGTGATTCCAAAAGAGCTTTTTGCAACGTTCAGGGCCTGGGGCTGCCTAATAGCTTGGTTGAAAGGTAAGATCGCCCCCAAACCCCACAGTCAGCCCAGAGCCTCATTCTTGTTGCTTAAAAGTTCTTGAAATCCCATGGTCGGGCGGGCCACGTTCAAAAGCCCCCCTCAGGACCCAAGTGAGGACCTCCGAAAGCACTCCCCACATTCCCCACTCCCTCCTCGGCCCGAAGCATTTGTGAACCAGGCTTTTTGTTTTAGGGGGACACATGCCGAAAGCACAGCAGGTCGGAGAGACCTGGAACGTTAAGGATTCGAAGGTTAAAATTGATGGGTCACCTGCAGGGAGTGCAGCGCCGCATCGCAGAGCCTTGCGCCCTCAAAAGCGGGGCTCGGTTTGCACACACTTCCTCGACAATGCTGTGGCAAACTTGTGTTCAAAAACGCCTGGCCAAGGCGTTCGTTTACAATGAGCCATGCATGGATTAGAGAGGGATGATGCTGAGACTGTACAGCAGGCTTAAGGCCGTCTTGTCTTCGAGGATGCTTGGCTTAAGCCCCAATTAATATATTGGCCCAGGACGACCCGAACCCAGAACCCCTTAAGCCCGAAGCCGCCGACGCCCCACACTGGCGTAGAACAAGGTCAGCCCTTAAGTTAGCAAACCTAAATGGCTATCCAAAGTTCCCATGAACGCTTCAAAGTTTGCTTCCCTGGAAAAGTGCCGCTACGAGGACAACCGGTTTGCTTGCCTTAAACAATGGGAAACTCCTGATGCTTTATGGTGGTGCGCCCCAGAGTGGCTTCGAGCGTTTAAGGGTTTGAAGGCTTCATTTTTCGAAAGAAGATCGCCTCCCCAAGCCGAAGGGTTGAAGCGGCTCCTGGAATTTCTTTAGGGGTTCCCAAATTTCATCTTTACAACGCTCAGGGCCCGGGCGCTGCCGACCAAGCAATTGTTAAAGTTGAAAGGCAAGGGTCGGCCCCAACTGATTTGGAGCTCCTGGAGTCGTCAGCCCAGAGCCTCAATTTTCTTCCCCTAAACAGCCCTTAGAATCCCATGGTCGGGCGGGCCACGTTGAAAAGGCCTCCTCAGGAACCGACGAGGACCTCCGGAAGCACCTCCCCACTCCCTCCTCGGCCCGAAGCCGCGGAGGCGCCCTCTTTTCCGCCATGAAGATGGAGATCGATAACGCCTCCCTCCAAATCCACAACGCCACGGCCGGTGGACATGGAGGCGCGGGCCGCAGGGGTGGGGACCCTGTCTAGAGCGAGGCCTCCGCACAGTCAGTCTAGAGGGTTCATCTCAAGCCTCCGGATCCCAGTTGATCTTGTCAATGGTGTGTTGTTTTGGTTTGGGGAGTTTTTTGGGGGGGAAAGGGTTCCATCCAGCTTTGGTGGTGGTTTTCAACCGCGGCAACCACGTCTTGATCGGCGACTGGAAAAGAGCAAATGTGGAGGCTGCGTCCCTTTCCCCCTCCCCCACCTCTCTCCCCAAGCTTTCTCTGAAAGCCACGCGTTCCTCGGACCAGTCTGGCAGCAAAGATGATGGCGAAATGGCCTGGGCCACGACCCTGAACTCAGCATGAATAGAGGTGGGTTTCATCTTGTCAATATTGCGTGTTGTTAGTTTGGGGGATTCTCAGACAAAAAATGGGTCCCGCTTAAAACCACATCTTGATCAGTTACTGAAACGAGCAGATGTCCGGGCGGCGTCCCTTTCCCCCCGTGCGTCGGATCACTTAGTTATTATTGAGATGAAGCTGCCACAACCTATCACTCGTCGAAGCGGGGGTCAGAGGCAAAGTGTACCAGGCCCAAAGAAATTGGGCACATGAAACGAAGAAAACGCCAAACATGACGCCGAACCACAGCGGAACTGCGGGTAGTATCACTTAGTTCGCAAACAGACATGAAGAGACTAGCAGACGACCTCTCTCGGACACTCCGGCAGGAAGGCGCGAAGGCCCAAAAGCTTCAGAGCTCTCACCTTGTACTTAACAAAAAGAGCATGCTCGTGGGACCGACACGGAAACGGACGTCCCCCCAGAACGGACGCGCGAAGCGAAGCCACCGATTATCTCAGAGCCAGAGCCCATCGGAGCTTCTGACAACGCGAAGACTTCATGCCTGTCCCCAAAACGATGACAGTTGCGAGGATCGCGGCCCCTGCCCGCTCCTGCACTTGTCTGCAATTTCGGGGCACACACACAGGCTGACGAGAGGCGTCGAGAATGAGAATGCTGACAGTTACGAGGATCGCGACCCCTAGTATAGGCCCGAAGCAACAGCAAAGAGCACGCAACACTTAAGAGTAAGTGACCGACTAGTTCCGGTGCACTGTGGACTTGACGTGTACAAAATTGATGCAAAGATTGGGTGCTGCACCATGGTAGTTGGGTGTGTCTTCTACATCTTTGAACACGCAGAGCGCCTTGTTCATGAAAGAAGTACACTTGCACAATAGAGGCCAGCTGATACGTTGCAAGATCAACTGACGGTCTCAGCCCCCGCTTCATTTGTGAACTGGTCAAGCGGTGGCAGCGAACCCTCCAACAGGCTCCCAGAGCCTTCAGAAGACCCCGAAAAGAGGACTCAAGGGAGGCCTTGTAAGCATTGCGCGTTCTTTTTTTTTCTGGTGCACGTCCTGAAAGAACAGCAAGTCGGAGGGACCTGGAACGTTACGGACATGAAGGCTCATTTTGAATTAAATAATGGGCCGCCTATAGGGAGCGCAGCGCCGCCTCGCAGAGTTGTGCACCCTCTAATTGGAGCTGGGGCTCGCTTTGGCAGACTCTTCCCGCCATTCCTTTAGCAAGCTTCGTCTGGCCAAGGCTTCTACAATGAGCCCGCAATGCACCGAATAGCCAGCAGGCTTATGGCCGTTTAGTCTTCACCCCTATAAGCCCGAAGCCGCCAACCCCCCCCCCCCCCCACTTGGCTTAACACAAAGTCAGCCCTGAAATTAGCCAGCGTCTCTGGCCATCCAAAAGGTTTCAGTAGAACACTTCAAAGTCAGCTTCCCTGGTTCTTTGGAAAGCAGGTGGTGCGCCTATGGAGTGGCTTCGAACGGTAAGGATTTGATGGCTTTATTTTCGAATGAGGTCGCCTCCCCTAGCCGAAGGGCGGAAGGGGGGCGCGCCTAGACTTTCTTTAGGGATTCCCGTTCAGGGCCTGAGGCTGCCGACCTAATAGCTTGGTTGAAAGGTAAGCTCGCCCCCAGGGCCCACAGTCAGCCCAGAGCCTCATTCTTGTTGCTTAAAAGTTCTTGAAATCCCATGGTCGGGCGGGCCACGTTCAAAAGGACCCCTCAGGACCCAAGTGAGGACCTCCGAAAGCACTCCCCACATTCCCCGCTCCCTCCTCGGCCCGAAGCCGCGGAGGCGCCCTCTGTTCCTTCAACATGGCGATCGCCAACGCCACGCGACTCGAGGTCCGCAACGCCGTGGCAGGTGGAAGTGGAGGCGCGGGGGGCACCATGGGGACCCTGTCTACCTGTAGAGCCAAAAGGGAGGCCGGGGCCAGCAGAGGGTTCATCTCAAGCCTTCTCATCCCCTTTTTTGATCCGGCAGCCGCCTTCGGGTAAAAAAACCCAGAGCGGTAGATTTCATCTTGTCCATGTTGCGTGCTGTTTGTTCAGGGAGTTTTTGGGGTGGTTTTCCTTGGCCGTGGTGAGCAGTGGAAACCACGTCTTGATCAGCTACCGAAGTGAGCAGATGTGCCGCACTTGTGAACCAGGCTCGTTTTGGGGGGGACACGTGCCGAAAGCACAGCAGGTCGGAGAGACCTGGAACGTTAAGGATTCGAAGGTTAAATTTGATGGGTCACCTGCAGGGAGTGCAGCGCCGCATCGCAGAGCCTTGCGCCCTCAAAAGCCGGGCTCAGTTTGCACATGTTTGCACACACTTCCTCGACAATGCTGTGGCGAACTTGTGTTCAAAACGCTTGGCCAAGGAGTTAGTTTACAATGATCCATGCATGGAATAGAGAGGGATGAGGCTGAGACTGTACAGCAGGCTTAAGGCCGTCTTGTCTTCGAGGATGGTTGGCTTAAGCCCCGATTGGCCCAGGACGACCCGAACCCAGAACCCTCAAAGCCCGAAGCCGCCGACGCCCCACACTGGCGTAGAACAAGGTCAGCCCTTAAGTTAGCAAACCTTTCTATCCAAAGTGCCCATGAGCGCTTCAAAGTTTGCTTCCCTGGAAAAGTGCCGCTGCGAGGACAACAGTTTGCCTGCCTTACACAGGGGGAAAACTCCGGATGCTTTATAGGAAGGATCTCTGGAGTTCACGGTGACCTTGAACTTTTCTGCATTTCTTCCTAGTTTTTTGCTTTTGAGATCTCAGGCGTTTGGATTAATTCGGTTGCTACATTTCTTCCTGGCATTTTTTTGCTTTTGAGATCTCAGGCGTTTGGACTAATTCGGCCACATACCGCATCAGCTACTGTACCTGCATATGTGTGCAGCAATGAGACCCCCTGACATCCCACGTGCTTGTATGCCTTGGCCTCCGGGATTTTTGTTGACTTGCTCCGTGTTGCTTTATCTGCTTCGGCTTGTCAAGCAACTGTCCCGGCTTTGGAAAGGCCGAAGGGTTGAAGCGGGGGGCGCGCCCGGCTCCTGGAATTTCTGTAGGGGTTCCCACATAGCTTCTTTGCAACGTTCAGGGCCCGGGCGTTGCCGACCTAGCAGTCTTTGTTGAAAGGCAATTGTCGCCCCCAAAGGGTCCACAGCGGATTGGAGCTTCTGAAGTCGTCAGCCGAGAGCCTCAATTTGGTTCCCCTAAACAGCCCTTGGAATCCCGTGGTCGGGCGGTCCACATTCAAAGGCCCCCTCAAGACCCGACGAGGACCTCCGAAAGCACCTTCCCTTTCTCCTCGGCCCAAGCCGCGGAGGCGCCCTCTATTCCGAAGGGAACATGGCGATCGCCAACGCCTCTCTGGAGGTCCACAATGTGACCGCCGGTAAAGATGGAGGCGCGGGCTGCAGGGGGGGGTGAGAACCCTGTCTCGAGCGAGGCCTCCGGACAGTCAGTCTAGAGGGTTCATCTCAAGCCTGCGCATCCCAGTTGATCTTGTCAATGGCGTGTTTTTTTTGGTTTGGGGGTTTTTTGGGGGAAAAGGGTTCCATTTGGGTCCGGCCGAACCACACTAACAGTCACCACCAGCAGACCCACAAGAAATAGCACCCGGTAAATGCTATAAAATTTGGGAATGGGTCTGATCACACTCTCCAGGGGGTCCACCTCATGCAGAACACAAGTCTGTGTTCAATCCAGCCTCGGTGGTGGTTTTCAACCGCGGCAACCCTGAACTCGACATGAAGAATGAGATGTGTGTCCCCCTCGTTGAGGCATACATGCATCACATCACTGTGTTTGCAAACAGACTACCTCTCTTTCAGACGCCTCGGCCGGAAAGCGCCAAGGCCCAACAGCTTCACAGCTCTGGACCCTGGA